GTGGGGCAGCCACACACACACACACACACACACACACACACACACACACACACACACACACACACACACACACACACACACACACACACACGCACACACACACACACACACACACACACACACACACACACACACACACATACACACACACACACACAGACACACACACACACACACACACACACACACACACACACACACACACACACACACACAGACACACAGACACAGACACAGACACAGACACACACACACACACACACACACACACACACACACACACAGACACACAGACACAGACACAGACACACACACACACACACACACACACACACACACACACACACACAGACACACACAGACACACACACACACACACACACACACACAGATAAATATGTTTGTTTGTGTCTTGTTTTTAGTTCAGGCGTTGTAGACCGGTATAGATTCTGTGGTGTTTTCAGAATGAAGCTGAATAATCTTGTTTTGCTTCAGTATAACTTTACTCCTGTATTATTCTACGCAAGCAGAGCACGTTTGCAGTGTATTATTCTGGCTAGGTATGGGTCGGTGTCAGATTCTGACGGTGTGATCATCTTGGATAATAATATCTGGGTATGGTGCTCACTGCTCTACACAATACTCTTGTTAAATGTCTGGGTAAAACACAAACTTTTCCCGCTTTGAAATCAAAATATTCTATTTTTTGAAAGATTTCTAATATTCTGGAGCAGGAAACATGTCAGGCTGAATAACTCAGATGGGTCATTGCCTTCTGCTGTCGTCATTAGATTAAAAACAGAGATTTCTTTACAATTTAAAACAGCATCTTTGCACATCTCCTCTGCTGGAGACACTGCTTGTCACGGTAGGTGAGGTGAAAAAGGCACGAGGACCCGAGCGGAGAGTGAAGTAGTATTTATTTATAATAAAATAAAATAAAAGGCAAAAATAAACAACCCCGAGTGGGAAAACACTAATAAAACAAACAAACAAACAAACAAACAAACTAGACTGGCCAGGCTGGCAAACTGGAGAACAGGACAAGACTGGCACAGAACAGAAGACATGAGGAGATTATAAGCAGGAGAAAATTAACACAACAGATGAACATAACTAACTAATAATGGGTTAACAAGTGGGGTGGGACTAGACAATATACGGAGAGCACATGACAAAGACAAGACAAGCCATGCGCTCACATAAAACAGGACAAGAACATGCAGCCAATGAGAGAACTCACTGACCGCATGTTCATGACAAGACAAGCACAACACTGACGCACACGACAAAAGCACAAGACCACAATGTAAACACAGAGCCACGTGCTTTGACAACAGATGCAAGACACGAGCACACGATCAATGAAAACACTCACCGTGCGCTCACACACGCAGCGTGCATGCTTCATCCCAGCGCCGACCAAACCCAACTAGACTGAGACGCTGGGAATGAAACACCACGCTGCAGACAGACGAACACACAAACACGAGTACAAGAGCGCACGCGCGTCCGAGGCACGCAGAGCCTGCGCGGCCGCATCAAGCGGGAGCGCGCACACCCACGACGGCGCGCGCGCACACAGAGACAGAAACCGGAGCAGACAGAGCTAGTGTCCGGGCTCTGCCACCAAAACGAGAATTTACAAGACCAGAGTGGCAGAACCCTCACACTGCTGTCCTAAAAAACTGACAAATAAATGTAAATAAAGATGGTACACATACAACAGGAACGGCATTACAGAAAATGTTGACGTTTTAAAAGCTTGACTTGTCCAAACCACTGTTTACCTCGAAAACAGTTATGGTCCCCTGCCTAATGCCAGCATTCATCACTCACTCATTCTCCCTCAGCGGATGCCTGATTTATTAGGACTCGTCTTTAAGTGAGTTTCCCCTAAAACAGAGTCAGTAATCTCCCGATGGAGCTGGACAAGTGATCTGCTTTTACAGTAAAACAGGATTATTCCACACACCCCACTGGCAGATTCTCTTCCAGAAGATGCTTCTTGATTTTAATAATACAGCATGTCTGCAGTGTGCTCTGCCAGCATGGACCATACTGCAGAAACGCTTTATTATACAGAGCTTCTGGTGCAAACCTTCTTCAATCAAGAAGCATGTTCTAGACGAGCAAAAAACACCGTCTTCTGTTCTGAAAGAAGAGAGTTTCTCATTAAAACAAGCGCAATGATCAGCCTGATGGAGTCAGCAGCATAGCCCAGTGTTCGCTCTGACATCAGATTATTCTGCTTCCCCCATTGGCAGATTATTCTACTGCTGTTAAGGAGAAACTCTCTTCATTTTGACTCATTAATTCTCAACATCAGACTATAGGTAATGCTCATCTACAAAATGCTTCTTCATTCAGGAATGTTCAGATATTTGTGCTAGAAACAGACAGAAACTCTGAGTCAGCTTTGTGCAGAATGAGACACAGACTCTAGGATATGACATACCTGTCAACACTGGGATGTGTAAATAAGGGATATGCCCACCATAATAAGGGATTCCCCCGACCAGCTCTTTAAAAAAGCCCCAGATGACTAAATCTGCTCATTTGGAGCTGTTTCATTGTAAATACACAGGTAAATGGTCAGTGATGAGTATTATTATTATTATTATTATTATTAATAGCATACTTTAGCTATTTATTTGAACTACCCTGATCCAGTTACTATGAGCATTTATGTGAAGCTGCTTTGACACAATGGACCTTGTAAAAGCGCAACACAAATAAAGCTGAATAGAAAAAATAATAATTTAGCAGCAAATAAATTAAACAGTTCTGCTCATTAAAATGAATATCTATTATAAAGAAACAGAATCTAATGTCATGAGCCGTTTCTTCACTGTGTAACGTACACATTCTGACTAAAAAGCAACGAGTGAATGATTTATTTAGACCTTTTTCATTTGATTAAACTAAATAACAGGCGTCACTTTAAAATGCAGACTCACAGTGTGTTCTCACAGTGAAATGACGACATTCGACTGCTCTCCTAACTGCTTATGACAAAATTAGTTGTGTTTGAAAAAAAAACTCACCAAGATCAACATCTTTAGATATTAATATCATTAATCATGTGTATGTCTGCTTAAACACACTCCCGAAAGCCAGACTTTTGCTCCGCTTCAAATCCCGAGTACTGAATCCGTTTGGGAAACAGCGTGTGTTATCACTTTGGAGCCTGTGAGCTGACAGTCCCGCAGCTCTAACGTTATATGACAGTTTTGAGGATTGCATATGACGGGGAGAAAAGGAAGGGAATCAGGCCGTTTTTATGTTTATTTCGACATGTTTTCCTGCCTAAACAAAGCCAAAGCACAGAACCGACTCGCATTCAAGAGCCAGCGGCGGCCCCTGGTGGCTCGGCGGTATGGGTTGCGTATAGGGAGGCTCGACTATTTAATGTTTATTTGCCACCCTTTAGAGAAAGACTGAAAACACAGGAGAAATACGTGGAAATAGATTTACAGGATCATAGCGGGATACAACTGTAAAATACGGGAGAATCCCGGGAGAAACGGGAGGGTTGGCAGGTATGGGTAATGAAGCGTTTCTGTGGTGTACATTACCACAGCACTGATGATGAGTGTTAGTATGATCAGGATTATTAAGAGAAATGATGATGATGATGATGATGATGATGATGATGATGAGTGTGTGACTGTGAGTGATTCTGACCTCAAAGCTGATCTCCGGAGCTTTATAGATCAGCTGGTAGGCTTTGATGGGCTCTTTGGAGAAGGCCGGTTCCCAGCTCAGCTCCACGCTGGTGTCCGTCACTCTGCCTGCCTGGAACTTCCCTGGCTGACCCGGAACTGCGCACACACAGAGAGAACACACACTTCATCACATACACACACACACACACACCCTCCAAAGATACATCTATTTCACAAACACACACACCCTCCAAACAAACACAACACATGCACTCATGCACATCCCAAACATACACACACACACACACACACACCCTTAACCCCAACACCCTGCAAACATCACGGTCACACACTGCTCCAACAGGGACACCAGCACCAATCCAGAATGCAGGATGATCTGCTGTCACGGCTTTACAATCAGTACATGAGCTCATGATGGAGGTCTACAACAGCAGGTGAGGGGTCAGCCTGAGTTCATGAACATTTCACAGCATTTCCCCAAACTCTGAGAGAGAATCAGACTGATGAAGCAGAACTCAGAAACACAGAGCGAGACCAGGCCACATGCAGCCCAGAGTGATGGAAATGACCCAACAGCACACGAGGGTTAACGGCACACACTCACCTCCGGGTCTGACTTTGACATGTACGGGGTCAGAGAAGGGTCCGTCGCCCACCGCAGTGAAGGCCAGCACCCGAAAGGTGTATGTCTCTGAGGGCAGCAGGCTCTGCACGGTGGTGATGGTGCTGTCCTGCACGTGCTGGATCTGCCAGGCGCTGACGGGCAGCGAGGGCTCCAGGGTGTAGTAGACGCGGTAGCCCTTGATCAGGCCGTTGGGCTCCTCGGGCTCGTCCCAGCGCACCATCACCGCGCTGGAGGAGATGATGCGGGCCTGGATGTTGCGCGGGGGGCTGGCGGGCGCCTGTTCTCCGGTGCGGGCCTCCGTCCGGCTGCTGGGCGGCCCCTGCCCGATGCTGTTCACCGCAGACACCCGCATCTCGTACTCGGTGTTGGGGTACAGCCCGCCGATGCTGTAGCGCGTGGTGGTGATGGACTCCACCGTCTCGAACTTGCTGTCCGGGGATTTGGCGCGGTACTGGATGATGTAGTAGGACACCGGGTCCGGGTTCCCTGAGTCCCAGGTGATGGTGATGCTGGTGGGGGTCGTTTCTGTGACAATGGGGGTCCCCGGAGATCTGGGTAAAGCTGGAGATACACACGAGAGTGTGAGAGAGAGAGAGAGAGAGAGAGAGAGAGAGAGAGTGTGAGGGTGTGTGTGTGTGTGTGTGTGTGTGTGTGTGTGTGTGTGTGT